CGGCCGCCCGCCCGCCCGCGGCTGCCATCTGGCCGGGAGTGTGCTCTGCCCCAAGTCCAGGCCGCTCTCCCCGTCTCTGCGGTCTCAGTGAGGGCAGAGAAAGAGAGGAAACGGCTCATGAGCCCAGATGTGCCGCCACACTTCCCTGGTCCCCCCTAGCTGGAGCTGAAGCGTCCCCTCCGTCCTGTCTGTGCCCCGTGACCGTCACCTGCGGTGGTCCTTGAGTCCACACTCCGCGAGGCGCGGCCGGCACAGTGGGCTGGCTCGGCCACTACTGCTGTGCGCTTGGAAGCTCGGAGTCCAGACATAGGCCTCAGCACGCCCAGCAGACCACACAGCAGGTGCACGCACCACGCACGCACATACACACCCACACCCACAGCAACCCGGGAGCCCCTGGGACCTCCTTTCTTTCCGCTCCCCGGGGAGCCTCTCCTGTCTGTCCTGCCGGGGCGGGTTTTCCACCCACGGACACTTCTGGTGCTGGGTGAGCACTCGCCCGCACGGTCACTGCTGGGAAGGGAAGGCGGCAGGCATGAAGGCAGGGTGTGTAAGCGGGCTTCCCTGTGAGCGTGGGTCTCTGCCCTGCGCTCACGCATGCTTACGTGTGGCGCTGGAGCCCTTCACGTCGCTGCTGCTAAGGAACTGTGACACTGATGGCGCACCAGGGCTCTTGAACAGACGAGAGAAATTTCAAATTCAAAACTTAGATTTCATTTTAAATTGGAATCCAAATTTAGCCATGCATGTTTTCCACAGTTATCTGTGCTTTATAAACCACATATCTGGTGGAGTAGAATTTCAAGTCGCCGTAAGCTTTATGTCACTATTTAAGTTGCACACAACGGCCTTGGACCCTCTGAGCAAATTCAGGCGCCCGGGCCCTCCCTCGCTCCGTCCCCCGGCCTCGCCATCTTCTGTAAGGAGGTCAGGGATGCAGGCGTGTGTGCGCGGGTGGTGTGTACTCACATGCACACGGAGGGCTTCCCAACCTGCTTGGACCACTGAAGTAAAGCAGTCTCTGAAAGCTCAGGAGGGACCCCCTCTGTAGACCCTTCCCCTGATCCTCCGGGAGCTCTGGCCTCGGGGCAGGAAGGAGCTATGCAGATGGGAGGACTGAGAGTGCTCGGACTGGAAACCGTGGGCCTTCCAGACCTACCCCGGCTCTGGTCACAGCAGCGAGTTCTGTGCCTGGAGCAGAGCCGAGGACTCACTTTCACTTTGGAAGGGGGGGTATTTTTACTAAGGAATAAGAGCATTTTAGTTGTCGCAACATTCCTTAGGAGAATTCATTGATTTGTTTCCATTCACAGACTGCTCGTGATATTTTGTGTGTCTTATCTACAAACACTAATCTGAGGTAATTATATGAGGGTGTTTTTAAAGCATTCTAGACTCAATTGTTTTTATTAAAAATGTTTGTTTGTTTATTTGCTGCCATTTTCAAGTCACTGGGTCCAGGCCTTGCACCATGGTCGGCCATGTGGGAATCCAGCACCTTAACCACCACGCCACCTGCTGGCCCGCTATACTCAATTATTAAATAACTTACTATAGTACCAGTTTGTCAAGTGAATATATATTAAGCTCAGCATTATGGTCGAGGAAGGAGACATGGACCAAACTCTAAATGGCTGTCATCCTTAGGGGTTTCTTTTATGTCGTTGGATTTCCTTTGGTGATATTTATACCTATCAGAGTTTAAATTGATCGAGCTTAATTTGAACAGATCACTAAAATTAAAATTCAGTCAACAGAAGCAAGCTAAGTTTTATTTTGGCCTTTTAAAAAATACCTCAGAAGGGACCAGCAGTTAGCATAATGGCTATGTCGCTGGACTCCCACGTAGTCGACCGCGGTTCGAGTCCCGGACCCGGTGGCTTAAACTCACGCCGGGCGCGTGTGCGTGCGTGCCCAAGATCCCGAGAGGAGAATGGAGGAGAAGGGATTGTGGCGTGGCCATCCCCCCTGGGGGGTGATTTCCTGCTTTCTATCTCTCTGTCTCTCTCTGTCTGTCTGGCGAGCGCACGCGCCCTATAGCAAAAACCTCTCCAAAAAAAAAAAAAACTTCAGAAAAGGTACAATTGTTTTTCTGAATGTTTATGAAAATTTTTCTACATTTATATTTACAGTTATTTGCTAAATCACCTTTTCTGGTAGTTTTAATGAACTCTCTAGAATTAAGGCATAAACAAAATGTGAACAGAGACCATCAGAGTACCCCGTGATCCGTAGGTCACGTCCGTCACCGTAGGGCCCGGGAAGTGAGCTCCGGAGAAGACTCCCTTGTGAGCGACATCACACCTCAAGCTGCATTTTACACTTGGTGGTGTGTAATTAGATTTTACTTCATGACCATTTTTCAGAACAGTTTTAGAAAAGTTGTGAAGATAGTTCAGAGCTTCCGTGAATCCAGACCCTGTGTTTGTGCACCCAGTAGTTTTGTGTGGTCTTCAGAGAAGGAGTTTAGAGTCCCGGGTCATTTGCAGAACTCACTTCAAGATAAAGGCATGAGAGACCCACCCTACCGAGTGCTAGTTAGATGGAGCCCGGGGATGTGCCTCAACCTCCAGAGACAGGCAGTATCGAGAACTCATGAAAGGAGTGCATGAAGGCTGGGGAACAGGGCCGAGCGGGACCTGGCAACGGGGCTCAGATGTGTGTGAGTGTGGGGGAGGGAGCCTGGCCTGAGGGGCCCCTGGGTGGAAGATGCTGAACTCCAAGTAGGGGGTGTTTCTTACTGATAGCGCCTGAGAGTGGCAGGCATGTGTGTGTGTGTGTGTGTGTGCATGCTATGTTTGTGCTGTGTGTGCATATGTACATGAATGTGCTGTGTGAGTGTGTTCCATGTGTACACACATGTGTGCATGTGTGTATGGTATGGGTATGTGTACATATGTGTGAGTGTGCTCTCTCTGTGTGCTGTGTGCATACATACATGTGTTGTGTGTGCTGTGTGTGGGTATATGTACATGAATGTGTTGTGTGAGTGCACTCTGTGTGTGTGTGCTGTGTGCTCTGCATGTATATATATATATGTGTGTTCTGCGTATGTGCTGTGTGCATACGTACATGCATCGTGTGTGCTATGTGTATGTGTGTGCTGTGTGTGTGCTGTGTGCACTTTGTGTGTACACATACATGCATTGTGTGTGCTATGTGTGTGTGTGCTGTGTGTGTACACGCACCTTGTGTGTGCTGTGTGCATACGTACATACATTGTGTGTGCTATGTGTGTGTGTGCTGTGTGTGTACACGCACCTTGTGTGTGCTGTGTGCATACGTACATACATTGTGTGTGCTATGTGTGTGTGTGCTGTGTGTGTACACGCACCTTGTGTGTGCTGTGTGCATACGTACATACATTGTGTGTGCTATGTGTGTGTGCATGCTGTGTGTGTGCACCTTGTGTGTACTGTGTGCATACGCACATGCATTGTGTGTGCTATGTGTGTGCTGTGTGTGTACTTTGTATGTGCTGTGTGCATACATGCATGCATTGTGTGTGCTATGTGTGTGTGCTGTGTGTGCATGCTATGTGTGTGTGCACCTTGTGTGTGCTGTGTGCATATGTACATGCATTGTGTGTGCTATGTGTGTGTGTGCATGCTGTGTGTACTGTGTGCATACGCACATGCATTGTGTGTGCTATGTGTGTGCTGTGTGTGTGCATGCTGTGTGTGCACTTTGTGTGTGTTGTGTGCATACATGCATGCATTGTGTGTGCTATGTGTGTGTGTGCTGTGTGTGTGCACCTTGTGTGTGTGTACTTTGTGTGTGCTATGTGCATACGTACATGCAGTGTGTGTGTGTGTGTGTGTGTGTGTGCTGTGTGTATGCACTTTGTGTGTGCTGTGCGCATGCGTCCCTGCGTGTGTGCATACACATGGGCTCAGGGACCCTGTAAGTTACATGTAATCCAGGCTGATAGCAGTACATATGGAAAACAGCTGTGTCAAGAAAAGAATTTCCACTCTGAGATCGCGCCTAAACGTGCTGATTGTAAACTTCATATGTGACGTTCTAGAAGGCGTAAGCGGTTGGGCTGGCGCACAGTCCCTGTCGGTCTGCTTCCACCGTGGTGCCAGTCCACCCTGTGACCACCAGCAGCGAGAGGCCTCCCACTTTGTTCTTTTCTGTCCGAACGTGGCTATTCAGGGTCTTTTGTGGCTCCATATGAAATATAGAATTATTTGTTCTACCTCTGCATAAAATGCCATTGGGATTTTGACAGAGACCTCATTGGATCTGCCATCATATTGGGTAACGTGGACATTTTAACAATATTCTTGCGTTGTCTGGAAAGTCACGACGCATGTTTTGCATAGAAAGACATAGAAAAATACACCATGACTTTCCTGATGACCTAACACATCTTTCAACCCATGAAAATAGGATGTCTTTTCATTTATTTTTTCAATTCTATTTCTTTCTGAAGGGTGGGTGTACTCACCAGAGATGGACAGAGAGACTAAGAGCGAAAGATGAGAACACCCTGAGGGGGCATCTGCGATTCGGAGCACGCGTGGGCGCACGTGCACACACACACACACAGAGCGAGTGCCTCAAGCCGCTGGGTCTGGGTCTCAAACCATACAGTCGGCCGTGTTGGACCCACCTGCCTTGGCCATCGTACCACTGGCTGGCCCTGTTTAGGCGCTTTTAAATTTCTTTTACCAGTTTTCAGAAGACGTCTTCCCCATTTTTAGAGTTTTTTCATGGGTTACCTCCTTTTCGTGACATTATGAAAGGCGCTGTTTTTCTGATTTCCTTTTCAGATAGGTCATTATTAGCGTATGTAAAAGCATCCGACCTTTCTGTGTGGGCTTCACATCCTGCAACTCAACCGAATCCATTTACTGCTCTCCCAGTCCTTTGGTGGAACCTTCAGGGTTTTCTGCAGATAAGATCATGTCTGCAAAGTAGAACCATTTTATTTCTTCCTGTTTCATTTGGACTACTTCCCCCCGTTACTTCGGTTAAGACTCCCCAGTCTGTGTTGATCAGAAGAGGTAAAGGGGTGTTCTTATCTTATTCCTGATCTGAGAGAAAGACCTCTCAGTTCTCATTGCCGGGAAGGGTGCCGTGGACAAGAGCACGTGGTCTTTACTGTGTGGCTATGCTCTGCTGTGAGCGTGGGCTTCCGACGTGGGGGGCCCCTCCTGTGGCTGCACCTGCAGGTGCCATCACCCGACGGGCTGCCCCAACCTCTGTTTAAATCCGTGGCTTCCATGCCCCTGAGCTTCCTCTGGAGACTTGTTTTTCTCCTCAGCCTCAGAATTCACAGGCAAAGTCTAAGCATCGTGTAAGGCCTTCTCTGAGAGTAAAATGCTCAGTCTTTCTAGAGAAAATTCACACCGTCTTCCCCTTTAGTGCGACTCTGATGTAAACTCTTGAGGAATAGGAGTCATCAGGCCAGCAGGTGGTGTCGACGGTAAGGTGCTAGGTCCCACATGACTGACTCCACTGTCTGAGTCCCAGACCCTGCGCCTTGAAAACCATGCTGGGCGTGCGTACCTGCGTGCCCCAGATTCCAGGAGGGGAGTGGAGGAGAGAAGACTGCAGCATGGCCACCCCCCACGAGCGATGCTTTCTTACATTCTCTCCATCTGTCCGTTCTCTTCAGTGAGTGCGCACACCCTATAGCAAAAATCTGAAAAAATCCAAAGGGAAAAAAGGGTTCAAATCACCTCTATGCTGTTCATGCTGTGTTCGCTGCTCACGGCCTGGAACACAGTGGGGTCCTGGGAATACTTAGTAATCTGGGTCTTCTCTGGAACTAAAAATCTGTATCTGCTTCACCAACAACTTCTCTTGTAGGCAGTTACTGTAGGGGCGTAATCGGAGATGCTCACAGTTTTATGTAGCAGGTGCCCACATTGCTTGTCATTGTGGAAAATAAAGACAGCTCGAAGCCCAGCAGTGCTGTCTAAAGTGCCGCCTCTTCTGCACTCGAGTGAATTTAACAGAGGGCCTCATTTTACCTTGACCACAGGATGGCTCTTTGACATACTTTATGTAGGAGTTGTCTATGTCTTGACTTTTAAATTGCTGTAATTGTTACTAGTATTAATTATTTTTATTTTTATTTATGTTCCTGAGCAGTTTAGAGAGGATCTAATTTTTAAATTCTAAGAAGAAATAGATTAAGTGTATTTTTAAGAAGTCAGAGAATACTGGACATTCATTGAACAGGTAATATTTTTGTTTTATTCCAGAAAACAGCTCCTTGAACATGGTGAGGTAAAGCTTCCGTTCCCGTCTCTGGTACACTGTGCATTAAGTTCTGGTTCAAGAACATCCAGCCACGGTTCCCACCATCGGAGCTGCGTGACCCAGCACTGGTGGCAGATTTCTGCTGGTCCTTCTCACTCTAGTCCACTCTCACTTTTGAGTAGTAACCAGGACTCAGGAGCCAGAGGCTGCTTGCCGACCACGGTATGGTGAGGTTCAGTCGCCTTCATTCGTCAGCAGTACCAAGCCCTGGGTTTCCGGCCTGCGGCATTAACGAGGCACGGCCACAGGAATGGGCACTGGTGGCCCTGTGACCAGGGGCCTCCCCAGCACAACAGCCCAAGGGCCAGGCGTCTGCAGTAGCTCCGCTGTGCTGCTGAGCACCAGAGGTGGCCCAGCGACGTCCTGCCCTCCAGCCGAGGCCGGACGAAGACGACACTGAGCCGCTAGGCCACATTCTACGTGGTGCTAAATTGTTTTGTGGCATCAAAGTTCAGTTGGGCGGGGAACCGGCAGTTAGCGTAATGGCTATATCGCTGGATTCCCACGGAGTCGACCGCGGTTCGCGTCCGGGACCCGGTGACTTAAAACTCATGCCAGGCGCATGTGCGTGCATGCCCAAGATCCCGAGAGGAGAATGGAGGAGAAGGGATTGTGGCATGGCATTCCCCCCTTTCCGTCTCTCTGTCTCTGTCTGTCTGTCTGGCGAGCGCACGCGCCCTATAGTGAAAATCTCTCCAAAAAAAAAAAGTTCAGTTGGGTTAAAAATACAACTTCCTGAGCGGTAGACTTTTTAAGTGGCGTCTTGAAGGGGAGGTCAATTTCCTAAGAGGAAAAGTGAGTTTGAACTGAACAGGGATAGCTCGAGATTGGGTCCTCTTTGAATGGCCACTGGCCGCGTGCTGAGCTTGCTCAGAATGCTGTTTCTCCTGCTCACAGAGAGGGGGTGTGTGAACTAGGCAGTACTGGCCGGCAAGAGAGGAAGCCAGCATCTTGGCGACTTCCCCAGGGCAGCTCCTTCCTTTGCCAGCCACAGTGGAGGGACCCAGACTCCTACCCTCGGGGCTCTGCCACTTCTGCCGTGTGGCTTCCAGGCTGGCGCGGGCCGCACGGGGGCGCTTGTAGCTGGAGGCTCCGTAGGGGCCAGCCTGGAGGAGGTGTGCATCACTGCTTGCCCAGAACCCGGGCCCAGGCTCGTGACCTCTGCTGTGCAGGGCACGTGGGAGACCACGTCCGTTGCGTGTCCGGGAGGAAGATCTCAGGGGCACCTGTGGTGGAGCAGAGGCTCAGGGGTACTGGGGAGCTCACCTGGGTCTCACAGCTGGCCTGTGGGGAAGCTTGGACTCGAACCTGAGGAGTCCGTTTCCGAAGCTCTCAACGCAGTGGTCGGCCACAGTGCTCCCCGTGCACAGGGCCATTCGCCTGAGTGGCTTCGGCTGAATGAATGACCTCATCCCTGCCACAGCCCTGGGAGGTGTGCTGTCACCTGGGTCTTACAGACAAAGAAACTGCGCATAGGTCACGGCCGGCCGAGCGTCGGTGCGGAGCCTGTGGCCAGAGAGTCCTGCAGACGCCGCTGCTGACCTGAGGACGCGGCAGCAGCAGACGGCAGCTCTGCGGGCCGAGAGCAGGCCTGGCGGGAGGGGGCGCAGAGCCCTTGGCCCTCACGCCGTTTTGCTGCTTTTCACTGTTTTCCGTTTCTCCATCTGTCCTCACTTTGCATATTTTCTCTCCTTCTTTCCTTTTTAATACTAATCCTATAAATTTAGCAGCTCGGTCTCCACTCGGCCTGCATATGCCAGGTCCCTGCGCGAAGGAATGCAGGATTTAGGGAGGCGAGGTGGAAAAGCACCCAGATCCGTGCTGATGACAGGTGCATGCACGAGCCAGACGGGAAGGAAGTGCGGAATCTGGGCGGAAGGGCTCGGGCAGCTGGGGAAGGGGGTTACAAACGGCTTTGCAGGGAGGCCAGCAGGTGGCTTGTGTTTAAAGCGCTGGACTCCCATATGGTCCACCATGGATCAAGTACCAGACTCGGCAGCTGGAATACCCCTCCGGGCTCAGAGTACAGTTTTTTGCCCTTCTATTTTAAAAAGAGATGATATTTATGACTGAAAATACAACGTTCAAAAGGTGTAGAAAATGCAGACGAATCACCAAAGAACCCCGTTAACTTTCCGTTGTGTTTCTCACAGCCCCTGTCCCTGTCCCTTCCCCGTAGGTTTACACACACAGACATGTTTTCACAGAATTAACACCGTCTGTGCACTCAGAGTTTCATGCCCAGAAAACCTTTCCGTGCCACCAAAAGCTCTCCTAACGTGTGGTTTCAAATGGCGGCACAGCTGCGGGCATACGGTGGCTGACCTGTCCCTCCTCACTGGCCACTTAGGCCCCTTTCCACTTTACTATTTAAAAATACACCTATGTGGTCCTCTTTGTAGATCATCTCTGGATGTTGGCTGTTCTCTTACATAAATTGTTAGGGTAGAAATTGAGTCAAAGATGCTGGTTTTTTCCTAAGTCCTCAAGAAATATTTCTAAATTACAGAAAGGTAATTATTTTAGTCTTTTTTAAAATGTATTATTTTAGTCTTTTTTTAAATTGCATCCTCTCTCACATTCAGTTTCAGTGTCAATATTCGTCAATTTAATAGATGAAAGTATCACATTGTCTTTAACATTTCATTTGAGTATTAGTGACTTGGAACAGTGATAGGTGCTGTTGAATTTTTGTTCCATTATTTTCTCATACTCATTGTCCATTTTTCTAGTGAGAAGTTGCTACCTTATGAATATGTCTGTTAGAAAAGTATTCTTTGAAACCTTTGCTCAGCAGAACCCTGCGTGGGGTAGCCCGCCAGCCCGTGAAGATGTTTCCCTGAGCTCCCGACTTCTGAGATCATCTAATTCTGCAGCACACGATTTCTGTGGCTCATCAGGCAGCACACGCCTCGCGAAGCATGTCATATATACGTGTGTGTAGGTGTGCGGTCTGTGGCTCATCGGGCAGCACACCCCTCGCGAAGCGTGTCACATATACGTGTGTGTAGGTGTGCGGTCTGTGGCTCGTCGGGCAGCACGCGCCTCGCGAAGCGTGTCACATATACGTGTGTGTAGGTAGATGTGCGGTCTGTGGCTCATCAGGCAGCACACGCCTCGCGAAGCGTGTCACATATACGTGTGTGTAGGTAGATGTGCGGTCTGTGGCTCATCGCTTGCTTTGCACAAGATCTTGCACAAGTGTCACCTTCCCTCCTGCTGGGTGCTCCCACTGGGGGTGACGCGTGCCCCCCGTGCCTCGCACCCCGCCCTGCCTTCCCACCCCGGCCCACTCCATCATCCAGCCCGCCGCACTGGCTGTGTTCTGGCAGGCCGTGTGCTGAATATATCCGTCGCCCTGTCCGCTCACTGTCGGTCCTTGCTAACCCGACTAAAGTGAAGACCCAGAGGTCGGGACTGCGCTCCGCTGTTCCTGAAGCCCCCGGGCGGGACCTGACTTCGCTGACCGAGTGGACGTTAGTGGACTCATGACTAAGTTAGGAGAGGCCCAAGTTAATGCACAGGAGGCATCTCGGTCTACTTCACTCAGTTATTAGTCTAAGGTACGTGAAGTGGAAACATCACCTGTCCCGCTCCTCTTTTACAGCTGGTTTTCCACACCCTGCAGCTGCTGGCGTTCACGGCCCTGGCCGTCCTGATCATGAGGCTGAAGCTGTTCCTGACCCCACACATGTGTGTTATGGCGTCCTTGATCTGCTCGCGCCGGGTAAGGGTCGGCTCTGTTCCCGCAGGACGGCCTGGAGACCCGCTGGGGCCGGGCAGCTTTGCCAAGACATGGGAGCGAGGCTGGAGTTTCTGACGGAGCCGGCTTCAGGGACCGAGCAGTGAAGTACTGCCTCAGGATCCGCCGTGCAGCCAGAAGTTCGGCTTCGAGCAGCTCGCACATGACCCTCAGGCCGCGGCTGGCATTTGTCGGGTAGCTAAGGCTTATCTGGCAGTGCCCTCCCTACACACAGTCCTTGGCACTTGGTCCGTCCCAGAGCTTCCGGGCTCACCAGCCCTGCAGTACTCACCTGTGGGGTGACGGGCAGGCAGGGGCTCTTGTATTAGAAGCCCCAGGCAGGCGGCCAGTCTGGGGCTCCTATCCTGCATCCGGTGTACCAAACAGCTAGACAAAAAGTAAAGTAAAGCTCTCTGTTGAAAACAAAACAAAACAAAACAAAACTATGTTGGGTGCTGTCTTTCCAACTGTCTGTCTTGCTCATGGAAGAATAAGTAAACTTAAAAATAAAATTTTAAGGGGCCAGCAGGTAGTATGGTGGTTAAGGGTCCTAGACTCCTACATGGCCGACTGCAGTTTGAGTCCCGGACCTGGCAAC